ATCCCCATTTTTTTTTGTCTGTTATTTTAAAATTTGAATTTTTAACTGTTCCTTCGTCATCTGGACAAAAATCTCAATGCTGGATGTTCAAGCACCAGATGAAGGGCAGATTGCCAATCGCGAGACCATCTTGATTCCAAAAAGGTATATGTTGATATTTGTCTATGTTTCTGAGATGAGGTATTATGTACACTATTTACATTATTCGGACTATTGTCTTCATCTTTGTTCTCCGCTATGAGGGGGGATGGTCTTCAAAAGCTTGACGACACTTCGCAGATATCTCTCCCGAGTAAGACCCGCCATCGAGGAGAACATGATTAAAGACTGTGTGTGTGCTATCCAGTAAAGCTGCGGAAAGAAATATAAAAGGGAGACAAGCCGCCTCCTAAAGGCAAGGGTTCAAGAACACCAGAATGCTGTAACACGAGGGGAAGAGGAAAAATCAGGCGTAATTGTCCACATATGGGGAGAGAAGGGAAATCACCGCCCTCTGTGGGATCGGGTTCAGATCATAGACAAAGAACATCATTGGAAAAATCGTAAAATTAATGAATCAGCACATATGCTAGGCCAAAAAAAATCTCCTGAGTCGACCAAGCATAGAAATGAATACAATATGGGAACCAGTAATAAGGAGAGCCAGAAAAAAGCGATAATAACAACAAAAATTGCAATATGAGATCTGGTAAAAACATGTAATGATAACAGCAAAAAAATTGCATTATGAACACTGCTAAAAAAGAAAAGGTTGCTGAAGACATTAGGTTTATAATACCCAGAAATTCAAACACAGATGTCCTCAAGGACACATGACACAGTGGATAAAGGTGTTAGATCCAGTGACAGGACACAAAGAGTTCAATACCTGGTGAAGGTGGTGAAGAACTTTGAGAGGGGAATTAACAGGAGATAACTGATAACTGACATGGAACTAGAACAGTCTACGGTGAGCGAAATAAAGGTTTCAGTTCGACATTCAAACCACCTGAAGAAAGCGTACAACGGCCGTTGTAATGATATGGCGACAACGATTCGGAAGATAGTACGAATAATGTAAATAGCGTATATGTCGATGTAGAGCAACTGTGACCCGAATTAGAGCGGGTTTCAGAATTCCGCTTGAGTAAAATTCCAAGAGTTTTCATGTGTCAAACGTTTCATTAGAGATGTTTTTTTTCCCTCAAAGTGTTTTGTAGCAATTAAAAAAGATAATCAGTTGGGGGCAAAGTAAGGTGAATATGACTTCACAGACTTTGAACATATCTACACCTTTGTGCAAAATTCTAACAAAACGAATAATTCCGTTATTATTTACTTTTTTTCGTATTTTTCTAATGAAACATCACCCAGTGCACCTGTTAGTAGTTCGTATGCCAATTCGTATTTTCCATGTAATCATAAATGAAATGTCTATGAAAATAGACCGCAATAAATTGAACAAAAGATATTTAACAAACATCATTTGATAATAACTAAACATCAAACATCGCATTTTTCCATACAGGAGAAATATAGTAAGAAACAAATAACGCCTTGACTCAAAAATACCGAAAAGGATAACTATTTCCAATATATAGACTATCGATACCCCATCTATCAATATAGGAATTATCTATTGATCGCTGCCAGAAGAGGCTTGACAATATTCAAATTTTGATCGATTTCGCAAGATGATTTCTCGTACTGGATTTCCCACCATTATCTGTACGCATGCCATTATGATCAAATTATTTTTTTATAAATACATATCCTTGAAACAAGGGCGTAAACAATGGTAGTGAGGTTTTCATTGCTGGAAAGAAATAAAATTAAGTGAATTTAACTTTTCGTTGCTCAAATATTATTAAAATAATAATTATTATTATTAAAATTATTTAATGACGAGTTTAGCATTATCTGTAAAACAAAAATCCCAGCACCATCTTTTGAGCAACGTTTATAAAAATTGAATGGTTTTGAAGATTATTCAGTTTGTAAAATCTGAGTAATTTTGAACTTCCTTTAAAGGCTATCCGCAAATGTACAGGGTGATTCGGAAGTCTTGTCACCCACTACATAATATAATTTTCTATTTTAACACTCTGTGAAGTATTATCAACGAAAGAGTTTCACATGAACGATAACAGAATACCCATCAGTTAAAGGATACAGTTTGGGAAACCTTTGCAACGATCAACAAAGCACAGGTTCGTAAAATATCACACAGGACATGGCATCTCATTTTGTTCCACATAAATGGCATTCATACAGACCTTCTCGATGTATGACAGCGCCAGTGAAAGTGAATAAACTGAACCCAGTACATGTGATTTGTATTACTTGTTCTTCTATTGTTCTCATTACTTTTTGGTAAGAGTTGACAAGACTTTCGGACCACCCTGTACGTATTGAAGAAAACGGCTTCCATATGAACTTACGGAAACTTACGAGCACTGACGGAAATTGCTTTCATATGAACCTACGGAAACTTACCGAAACGGCTACCATATGAAATTAC